CTACTTGGCTAGTAGAAACTGAATTAGTAAACTAAAGAAGTTCATGCAGTCAGTTTTGTTCATGACACTCTCTGATGTCTGTCAAGATAATAGGTGCCCAAGGGCACTGGTCTTAATGTCCCAGGTGTTGTAGTTTAAACCTAGCCAGACAGCTCGTTCACTCACTCCTCGTGAGTGGTGCCGGGCTGGAAGCAATTGAGGCCTGCGTTCTCCCCCCCAGAAAGCAAAGAAATGTACTTGTTTGCTGCTATAGGTAATAAACCAGTCAAGAGTAGAGAACTGCTTGCTGACTGCTGGAGTCAGTCATCCCAGTTTCAACCCTAAATAACACCAGTTTAGAGTTATTATTCGTAACTAGCATTGCAATTCCTCCCCTTGATACTTGTTCAATTTTAAGAGAGACTTTCCAGTCTGCAAAATTATTGATGCTTTCATTAACACCACAGGTTGCTGTCTACTGTGTTTTTACTACAGTTTGTCATAACTGCTTACTCAACAGTTACATGCAGTTATCTGCACTTACTTGCTCAACAGAAATATCTGCAATTACAGGATGTTTTGCTAGCTCCATGATATAGTAGTGGTGTGCTGTCCACTGCCACTCAGTGCCACCGTTCTGTGCCACTGCACACTGAGGGACTGTGGGGTGTGCCACAAAGACACTTCTGTTCCAAAGGCCCCGTCAGGAAAAATTAAAGGGAAGGCTCAAGGAATGTGAAGGCCAACTCCACATGTCACTCTAAACAATACAGAAAGGAAAAGACTGAATTCAAGATCAGATCTTACTTTTGGAGCTTAGATTCCAATTTTGGCTATAGAAAGGCTAAATTATTATTAATTATCATTAATTAAACCTGTAATAGCATAGTTGCTCCTCTGATGATGTCTTTTCACTCACTAGAAAGATGGCTTAATAGATATTTTAGAAAATGTATTGAATTCAGCCTTATTGCTGTCTAGCCCAGACACCCTGTCAGGCTGAATGCTTGCTCTCCTTTGAATAAAAGCTGTTGTCCCCTTACTGTGAAATCCAATGGCCTCAGCCTACCCAATGCTTCCTTCAATCATCAGTCCTCTGAAGCCCTTGGAGAGAATAAATCCTTGTAATAAAATAAAAAAAATGAAAAAAAAGAAACTGGACATCTTTCAAGGCATAAGCAAGGCATAATTAATAACTGTAAGTGGATTGTCTGGGAGCCCCATGGCAACATTTGCTAAAACTCAACATTTTACGTTTAATTAGAAATATCACATAATTCAAAATGTCCCAAAACTGCAGTAGCCACACACTGCCTCAATGTGCTACTTTTGACTAGTACCCAGCTTCTTCCTTACTAAAAATAGAATTAAAAGTTATCTTCTATGCAAGCTGAAAATAGAGAAGAGTTAGATATAATATCCTGACCCTGAGTGAGCTCTAAAGAAAAGTGATGTCTCTCTAAGGATTAAGAATTTGGCGTCATAATCATTCTCATCAATACCTTGCTTCCTAACACAAGAAGGAGCACTCTGCTCTCTTCTACCTCTTCCAACCCCACAGGCACAAGGACGGCAGGAAGTTGTTCCAGCTCCTTTGCTCTGTCTCTGCCCCCTCTGAGAGAGGGCAGAGCTGAACCAGTGAACCAGCTGAACCAGTGATTTGTACATTTGTTTTCCATATGTTCACTCAAGACTGTGACAGATAAGCAGGTTATGCTCTTCCATCTTTGGTTGTGCTGTCTAGCCGGGTCATCTGAATGGAAGATGCTTTATACAACTGCATTAAAGCTAGCCAAAATGAACCATAAGTTCAAGGAAGTTTTGATTTGACTACTTTAATTTCCTCTATAATTTTATATTTTCATCAGGTACAGGCATCCCTGGTTTTGCTATGTTGCAATAATATGCATGTAATTTTCCTCCTCTTGCTATCACAGTGGCTTCTTAACTATACTTTTTTTGCAAAACAGAATGATAAAGCTATTTTGCCAATCTAAACATATCTTCTTTGAAAACATCTCTCATATTGCAGTAAGATTCGCTAAGGGAATTAGCAGAAATTATTTCTCAGCAGAAATTATTTCTTTCAAGTTTTGATGCTTTGTTCAAAAGATGAATAGAAGATACACAAGACCCAAACCCTAAGTCTCAAATAAACATACTGAATGAACAGCTTTACTATGTTTATCCACAGAAAATCTGCTCTGTGATTAACAACCTCTGTTGAAATATAGCACGATATCTGTAGAACAGAGGAAAATAAAACCCTGAATAGTCACAGTCAAATTATATTCATATACTTACTCAATAAAATTATTGCAGGAGTTCTTCAACTTCACTTGACTTTAGCAGGTTTTGATCACAGAGTATTATTTTCCTACCTGCTTTTCCTCCTTGGATGGCCCAGTGTTCTCTAAAGACCTTCATTCTTTTTTCAGCTCTGATGACCTTTACAGACATTGAGATTAAAAGATGTGCCATCCTGAAATGTTTCAGAAAAAGTGGCCAAGAAATGTAGCAAGCTAAATTTTGCAAACCTGCAGAACACATACTTCTCTAACCACATAAAATACAACCTTCCACTGTAGCATCTGAAGCTACACGAAGATACATACAGCTGAATGTTATAATTTACCCAAAGACACATGTAGAGAGGTTAGCATGGAGCTGCATCCCTCCAGAGATAATTCTGAGAGACTGTACCTTCTATAACATCCCACCAAAAGCATACACTGTTCTCTTTTTGCAAGCCAGCTGCTCAGTGCAGAGAAAAGAGCTATCTATGGCTCTGCTTTTTCCCTTCTGTTTTTAAGTAGGTACAAGGTGGCACATGAGGAGGAGGTCTACAGCAAACTTGCCCTATGTTACAGCTATATTCAAGGTCTACAGTTTATTAATGTGTGAGATTTGTATTCCAGTCTGTAAACTTCTCATGTTAGAATATATTTAAACTCTTCGGAGTTGAAGCTGTAGCTTTAGCTGTGACCTTTACAGCACATAGTATGCTATCAACACATAAGATAATATAACCCCTTAAACACATTCAGCTTCAGTAAGGTCGCACAGCTGTTTAAGAAGTAAAAGCTGAGCAAGCAGTAGTATCCATAGACCAGGAACTTCAAGTCTCACGGAGACCTCTTTGTTCTCTTAAGAGGTTAAATTACACACTCTATCCAGTCATGAAACAGCTTACAACGTTATCTCATGTGGGCTTCCCAAATCAATGTTCGCTTGTGTGGCACAGCTTCACTGAAACACTGTGCCAGATAATTCAATGCCAAGTATTCAATTGATGGGGTGCTTAGAAGCATATAATTTATATGGCATTCTATTTGCCATTTTTTTGTACAGGCACAAACTTACCAATATTTTTATTGGGTGCATTTGTTGTCTTGCTGATTTTGTTTGGTTTATATTACCAAAATAAAATCAATAAATCTAAATGCCAAGTATTTACGTGAGAAAAAGAATTTCAATATAACAAATTGTGCCTCAGGCATAAGGGTTAAGGTCTCAAAATTCATATCATAATATGATAGCTTTATGTTCATTCACTGAAGAAGAATATAAACAGTTTAAACAGAAGCTTTCCTTTTTGTAAATAACAAAGAAGGGCTGTGACTCACATTCCAGGAAGAAATACTGCAGCAATACAAGATATTGCCACTTCATTTGCTTTTTACTAGCTCTTTTCCAGGGGCAAGTATCCCACTATCAGAGAAGAAAGCTTTTCACAACAGAAATACCTATTCTGTTTTTCTTCTCTTTCTTGGCAGCTTCAGCTGTTACATAAGGCTATAAATCAAAATGGCTGAGGTAAGGGAATGCATGGTCCCTTCTCTTGATGCCATAACAGGAACAGAACCTTCTTCAGTGCAACAAATCAGCCAGCTTGGGTTAGAAATATTTGAAAGCATCACAGTAAGACTTGCCAGGGCATAAATGAAGTATGAGAGAGATACTGTGCACCTACATATTTTGAGGGACAGATCCAGTAAATAGTCATACGCGTGTTTCAGTATCTGTGAGGAATCAGCGCTCTGAAAGGTTGTGAAGAGTATTTGTGTTACGTCTTCATATTAAGTCACATTAAGATGAGTGTGTTCATACGATGTCTGAACCCCTCTACATTCATAATGACTATTATGTAAATAAAAGGGAGAATATTATGCAGAAATACTTACTGAAGTATCAAAGGGATACTTTAGCTTTGCTTATCAGTCATGCAGGTTAAGTATGGACTTTCTGATACTGTCTTCTCATGTGGTACATGTTTTCAGAACCAGGATGACCTAAGATAATGATTTTGAAAGGCCTGTAGTATAAATGATGTTCATATTATCAAGAATTATGTCAAGCAATGACATAAATCTCAGTTTACTTTGAAGAGATTATTAGAAATCATGTTTCATTTAAGAAGGTATGGAACATTAGCATCATTATTGCTTCCTATAATGCAACATCTTCAAGAATTTTAAATGAAAAATTGTCATTATAGAATATTTTTGTTCTTCTCTCCCCTTCTTCTTCCTCTTCTCATCCCCAAGTGATTTTGAGGGTTCATTTACTTACTACTTCAGTGTCTCTCAAGCTAAATTTACTTAATTTAAAAGCAGTTATTCTCTCACAACTTTCAGTCCTTGAAATACCCAGCATTTAGTCATTTAGCTAAGAAACACATGTCAGCAATGATAAAGATTTGACATTGAAACTTAAGTTAATAGCTCTGTAGTTGAAGTTTTGGCTGAAACTAAGTATAAACTACCGCACTGGCAGTTGCTTTAGCTGTGTGTTCCACCAACAGTAGAAAGTGATAAAAGATCCATTTTACTGATTAAAGGCAATAGTATCTGTCAGTATACAGAAGCAGGCCTTTAAAACAAGGCCATACTTACAAGTTAATAGCACACAGATGCACTTTGAAAATGCTGTGTTCTGCTTTTCAGAAACCTATAATTGTGTGCATTCAAAAAAAATTGCTATTGATAAGGTGTGGTGCTATTTGTCCTTCTTGTTGGCAGCATGCAAGACGACAGTTTAGAATCCTCAACTTCAATATCTCAACTTCTGAGAGAGAGTTACTTAGCTGAAACTAAACATCAAGGGAAGAGTGAAAGAAGCAGATCAGAAACAGCTTCTCATAACTTCCACTATGGCAACGCTTCCAGTGATCTAGATGATGTAGCTGCCCAAGATGACCTTCCAGATCTCTCTGCCTTTTTGAGCCAAGAAGAACTAAATGAAAGTGTAAACCTGGCAAGACAAGCTATTGATCAGAATCCACTGGAAACTAAACAAGATGAGCTTCAGGCACGTTCACAGCATCCCCCAGATCAGCTGAAAAACATAGGAAAATACAAACAAATGGCCCATTCTCCAGCTTTGAAAACAGCAGACAATGGCTTGCACTCAAACTTTTGTGAGGACCACATCAAAAATTCAAAGGGGTCCAAAGGGAACTCTCAAGATCTAAAGAAACATCACCTCCCTTCTGAATCTGAATCAAAAAAGGAATTTCTAAACAAGGCTGCAGATTTTATTCAGGAGCTCTCATCACTTTTCAAAGCTCACAACTCTGAAAGAATAAGACCCCGAACATGCAAAAACTACAGGAGTAAAAAAGGTAGCTCTAGCCTATCTAACACATCCATAAATAGAGAAAGGCTTTCCATTCCAGTACCTCAAGACTTGGAAAACAAAACAGAGAAAACACTTGAACAAACAGATGATCATCAGGCGGCAAACTTGGAATCCATCAATCAATTAACAAACACAGAGCTAAAAACAGAGTCAGAATCTGCATCTGTATATTCTGATGAGCCTATTGGACAACCACCACGCTTTACTCAAAAACTGAAGAGCAGGGAAGTTCCTGAAGGAACCAAAGTGCAATTGGACTGCATTGTGGTAGGGATCCCAGCACCTGAAGTCAGGTAAACATACTCTGCACTTGTCATTTTGTATTTCTGTAACAGTAGGTGTATGGCTTACTTTTTCCAGGTATTTTGATGTATACGTTTCAGTATTCTGTAGCAGAAGTCTCTTGATCTTGGTTGTTAAAATTGATTAAGAAAAAAAATTACTTTCTTTAAATCGTACAAAAGGTTGCTTGTATTTTAAGACAATATATTTGGGGACACATTACTTTCTTTGAATTTTAAAGAACTGTTTTTAAATACTGTACTTCCATAAGTAAAGCAAAGTGCTAACTCCTTAGTGAGAAATGTTAGTTATCTTTCTGGAAATCAAGATTGATTGTGTAAACTGGCTAAAAACACAAACAGCCATGATATCTTCAGACATCAGCATTAGCTGTTTGAGATGAGTGAACACAGGATCCCATAAACTAAAAAAATCCACGCATGATCAGAGAGGAAAGGAGTTCATTGAAGATATCATATAAATAACCAGGAGCAGATCAGTTCTAATTCAGATTCTGACAACTCTGTTGTGACCTTAGAAAAACGTCTTCCGTTTTATCAAGTGTAAGACACCATTGTTAACTGATTCATGTTGTGTGACTAGCCTGATAATTTTGATGCTTTAGTTTTCACCTATATCTATGAGGATTTTGAATGTTAAATAAGTAACATTTTTAAAGATCACCGGAGGTGATACGAAATGTGAAAAAGCTACACTTTATTCATCAATGACATCAGTGGAGTGAGAAACAGATTATTGTACCTTATAAGCTTATCTTGAAAATTCTTGTATCTCATCATCATTTCTAAATCTAAAGTTGTTCATATACAGCTCATTAGTCAAATTTACCTCCCATTTAGAGTGGTGGAACTGTATTTCTTTTGCTGGGACTATACCAATCCAATAGGAAGGAAAACTCTATTCGTCTTTTAAAGATATACTATACATACTTGCATCCTAATATCTGAAGTATCGTAAATAGACACCCTTAGTCTAGATGGTTGCTGATCCTTTTATAGGCATTTTAGAAATATCTGTTGCTCTTCTAAATATTGAGAAGAATTATTTGCATCTTCAATATCTAATCAAAGGACCCAGAGCTTCACAGATGGTCTGCTTTTTCCAATTGTCAGCTTAATGTCTTCCTTATATACTTAGACAATGCTGAACACAGGACTACTACAACTTCTACTGCAGTCAACACCTTTTATCATCTTTCTTACCGTACTAATAGGCACAATCGTCAAATGAAAACAATCTTAACATCCAAAGATGGAGGCTCCAAAGATTTTTGTGGTCAAGAACCTTTGTCTTCCACTCCCTTGAATTTCTGGCACATCAGCTGCTAATTTTTCAGAAGGAAGAAGCTTTTACAATGCACCATTAAGTACACAGGATCAAGGACCTACAAATGAATCCTCTTGTTATTGACAGCCTTGTCATGAAGACAAGAAGTTACCCAGTTCACAGTATCCCTGAACTGTGACTGCCAGACCATTTTGCTCCACTAGTGCCTTCAGTAGTAACGTGTATGTTCTCAGTCCCTAACAAGACCCTGAGCTACAGTGCCATGCAGGGTCTCTTGTCCATGACACAAATGTAAACTTCCAAAGGCTAAATGATTTATTTATAGAAGAGGAATCTGTTCTAAAGCTAGGGGAAATACCTTGTTTGGGAAAAATGTGCTTTCTACTATGCACAGTATAAACTCACTGCTTTGATTAATAATTTTGTTAATTTGAGGCATTCCCTTGGGGGAGCTTCTGCCACTATAATTGTTGTATTGTGTTCAGCCCTTAAATTCATAGAGGAATCTGATCAAAATGGAAAACAGAGCCAGAAACTGGGGGGAGGAGGGGCTTGAATGAAACCAGACAGGAAATATCATCCTATAGATATTAGCAACACTCTCTGAAGACTTCTTTTGCTTGTAAAGTCTTTGAGACTTATTTCTCCAGGCACATGCCTTGATAGATCTTTTTTATATTAAAAATTGCAGTAGGATTCCTCATCATTCATAGTTTATAATACAAAGGAAACCACTGAAATAATATTGTTTTACATATATAGACCTGTACACAAACTCAATCTGACTTACTTTGTATTCAGAAAAGGCGAACACTGAATTGCTTGTTTATAGACATATACTACAGTGCACAGTGTTAGTTTTATATATTTCTCCAGAATGCCACAACACCATCTTTATAACAGCACATCATGCCCATGCCATTGACACACACATAAAACTGGTAAGGTGTTCATGCCATCAAAGTTTAGGCATTTAACAGCTATCTGAATTAGAAGTTGACACTATAAAGTCACTGAAGCCTCAAAAGATCAGAGAACCTAGGAACAATGAGTCATCCCATGGAGTAACCAGGGATGGCCAGGATGCCTAGGCACCCTGTTCAGGGACTGCTTCATTCCACAGAATTGGATGACAGATATCTTTGTAACTTCAGTCTTCTTTTATCCCAACAAAACTGAAGATTTTTAACTGAAATTTCTATTTCAATATTTGATTTTGTTAATTTTAAATCATAAAATAAGCTACTTATGTGAATGCTAGTCAGTACAGGAACTATTACACTTCTATAGAATAAGTGTCCATCAAACTTTCCAACAACAATACACTGCTGCCAGGCACAGTACTGCTCCAAACAGAAATGCAACCCTAGTTTACTGATTAATGCTTGTAGTCAGATCAGGGTCTTAGAGGAACTAACATAGAAGCCCAGAACTTACATGCTCCAAGGCCACAGATAGTAGGGACAGGGAGAAAGAAGTCCCATAGGGGAAATCAGTCCCAAGTAGTCAAGCTCAAGAAAAAGACTGGGCTCAGTTTTCAGTTTTACAATTTAAACTAACAAGTAAGAGATAAACCACAAGGGGGTAAGTTGTGATTTATGCATTACATACATACTCCTTGTGTGTGTATGCACATGCTGTATTAAGCAGAAAGATGGTAATGTTAGCTGCTTGAACACTTTCCTGATCATACAACTTCTGTCCCGTTCATTCAAGATTCTTTCAACTCCACCAATGTGTAGGAGTAACACTAGAAAAGGGTGTAAAATAATTCACTTGCTTGAGTGATAAACATTCATGTGCTTCCAGTGGCCAAGGCCTTTTTAGTCAGTGCTACAGCATAAGGAAACCAGAAAATGTAATATACTTTGGCGTATGTGTTCCATTAACTATGGAGACATGAGAATGCGGGGTTTCATTTTTGGTTTTGTTTTCAAAGAATAGTGTGTGTCTTTGATCTGCTGTGCAAAGTTTCAAAAATGCAGGAAGCATCTTGTTGGCCATAGTTTTGGAACTATGCAGAACTGGGCTCAGAATTAGCATACCTTGCTTTGAGGGTAACAGTTTTTCAAGGTTCGTGATGAGTTAGGTTCAGGATCTGTGGAGACAGGCAAGGAGAGAAGAATTCTGATAGATAAGCAAGAGAGGTATGAAAATCAGTAGTCTCAGGACAGGACTAACTGGCAAAGTGGCAACTGATGAAAGAAAGCTTAAGGCTGACTGGCTTTAAGGCGTGATTTTTTCTTCCTTCAACTTAGCTGAATGACCAAGCTCAATAACCAAGCATCCTTTGGACCCACGTGTGGAGGTGCATACTTGCCTGTGTCCTTTGATTTAAAATGGACTTCCTAACCATAGAAAGGAATCAATCCCAAGTTACTTATAATGCTTATAATACATACACTCACTGTGTAGAAGCAGTACTGTGGGAACCCAGGGTATTGCAAAATAAGAACATGATTCAACCAGCTCTGTAACATAGTTTCTCAGTCAACACCAGGAGCAATCTGATGGTTAAACAAACGTAGTGGGAATTATAAGAGAGAAATAACAGACAGGAGATTTAGAAAGAAGCAGATCACAGGAATGGAAAGGACTGGAGAATATGATGGACAGATACCATGTTTGAAAGCAGGACAGTACAAAACAAAATTGATGATGTAAAAATGGTGTAAATGTCATTCATGATGGATCAGGGTCAAAATATCATTGGCAATGATACAGCATTATGATCTACATGCTTGGTAGGTAACTGCCTGGACTATATAAGGGCTCACTAAGGGACAGAAAACTGGACGTTGGAGCAAGAGAAGAAATCAGGAACTGATTTGAAATATGAATATGGATATAGAAAGCTAAATCCTGCTTGGCTGAATACAGACAGACCTGTCCAATTGTTTCTTAAGATAACTCAGCCTTAATGTAACACACTCACATGTTAGAGGAAGCTCATTAAGCCCACATATCTAGAAAGAAGCTTAAATTAAATGTTACCCCTTTTTCAGTATCATCAGCTGAATGCAGTGTCAGAAGTGACAGACTGACACTGTAGTATATGGGCCTCTAGCTAACTCAAACCTTACCTTGCAACTAAAGAGCACTACTAAGTTTATTGATTTATTACTTTGACTATACTGCAGGTTAGAGATAAGCATTTAAGAGAAGTATTTCTTCATATTTCCAAACTGTTAAAGGTTTTGATGACCTCTTTCTCATCCTTCCTTCTACAGCTTTGTTTGTGTATGAGTAATGATAGGTGTGACATTCACTCCCCTTTGTGAGGAGAGCACTCCTTATTCCCTCAAGTTCAGAGGTGCCTACATTTTTCCAAACTGTTTGGCACATCACTCTTAGGTTAATTTTACTTATGAATCACATTGCATGGTTTGGCATACACAGCTATCCTGAAAGTGTCATGAGGATTTGAAGTTCTAAAAACAGGCTGTATGTCATAAGGTTTCCATGAAAACATTCTTTAACACAGGCATACAAAGCTTAAAAAAAATGCATTTTAGTGCTGCTTTGTTTAAGGAGACTGGAGCTGTAACTAATCACAGATTTTTAGAGACTTTGAAGCCACGTAAGATTGATTAAGACTTTTTTCTTCCTGGCTGCCAAATGAAAACATGTATCTGTTTTAGTTCTCAAAGTCTAGAGAGCCAAACTTCTCTTACATGCAAGTAATAGTCAAGTCAATAGATTA